TCTCACCCGAACCACAGCAAGTCTCCTGAAGAATGGCCACCAGCTTCAATCACACTGCCCACCCACAGCCCACTCCCAAGGAACAAACAGTGGCTTTTCCAGAAAACAAATGGAAATGTCACTGGACTGCTCTAGGATGAATCTAGATTCCCTAGGACCTGGCCTGTCGGTCAGTCCAGAGTATCCCTCCCTACTCCCCGCTCTGTACTGGACTGGATGGCACCACCCCCCCCCCAAAAAAAAAGATATATTTACATCCTAACACCTCGACCACGTGAATATTAACATCTTGACAGATGTAATCAAGTTAAGAATCCTGAGATGAGGAGATCAGCCTGGATTACCTAGGTGGGCCCTAAACTGAAGGACAAGTGTCCTTATGAGAAGCACAAAGACACAGAGGTGGGGTAGAAAGCCACGTGCAAACAGAGGCAGAGGCTGGTGACAGCCTCAGGGAATGCCTGAAGCCACCAGAGGCTGGACTCTAAGACTGAAGGAAGGGATGAGGGCCCGCTGACATCTTGACTTTGGACTTCCAACCTTCAGAACTATGGGAGAATAAATTTCTGTGGTTTGAAGCCACTCCGTCTACGGTAATTTGCTATGGCTGCCCTGGGAAAGTCACATGCCTTCCCCCACGGTTCTCTAGTCATTTACTGACTGTCCTGAGAAAGAACTAACTAAGGCTCCTGAAAGCTGCCTGGTTCTCTTTTTTGGCCTTTTTACATGCTGATCCCTCTGCTCCAAACACTCTTCCACCCACTTATTGCGTGAGTAACTCCTACAGTCCTATCACTTCTGCCGAAAACTCTTCTGTGACACGTCAGCCGGGCTGGATGGCCCTTACTGTGGGTTTCTACTCACCATATACTCCTCTTTTCATAACATAACTTCACCATAATTTTTTGTTTAGTTGTCCCATTAACCAGTAAGTTCTATGAAGGCAGGTGTACTCTCCCATACACAGTTGTCACTTCGTAAACATTTGCCCCGTCCCGTATCACTTTTTCCTTCCCTCCCACACCCAACTCAAATTAGCCTTCCTAGGCAGGGACCCATGAATAGAAATTATCTCTATCCTTGGCTCCCTGGTACAGTCTTCCTCTCCTGTGTCTGGGCCCCTCAAGACTTTCTACAGTTTTACTTCCAGCTCCGGGAATGAAGAATTAATGCTTAAATTAAGGCTCATAAAGTGGCTATAAAGAGTCACTGGGAGTTCCTTGGTGGCCTAGTGGTTAGGATTCTGGGCTTTCACTGCCAGTCCCTGGTTGGGGAACTGAGATCCCGCAAGCTATGGGGCATGACAAAAAAAGCCCTTATTTGGCCCCAAGCCTACCCAAGCATAGTACCCCCTTTCTCGGGTCATGGTGATTGGCTTGTGGATAAGCACACAGTCTGGGTAAGGTTCGAGTTCTTTTCTAGAAAGTTAAATACAGATGTTCAGAGGATGCCATCCTCTTCCTTTTGGGGTCACTGGCTGGGATAAGGCCAGCTAGCACCATCTTTGTTCATGTCCAATGCCCCCCATGTGAAGAAAGCCCATTTTCAGGTACAAAAATGGAAGTAAACGCAAGAGTGGGCGGGGAAGAAAAGGGAGCTGAATGTCACTGTCATCTGAGTCCTTGTGCCCAGTCATCCCCGAGGCCACCCCCAGACCTCCTCAAATGTTACTGAATTCCCTTCTTTTGTCAAGCTGGTCTGAGTTCACTTCCTGTCGCCTGAGACTGACGTGGTCCTGCCAGATGCAATGCCTCTGATGCCTGAAAGCTTCCATACCACTAGTCCACATGGCCCTTCTAAGCAGGAGATGCAGAAACTTCTGTCTGGGTGAGTGAATGCCTGCCCGAGTGCACAGCCACAACACGGCTCCGCCCGCCTTCAAAGTACAAATCCTTCTCCTATCCTGGCTTTCCAGGTGCCTTCACAGGCAGGCAGGAGGGCAAGGTCAGGGAAGTATGGAAATAAGATAATGATATCTTGTCCGTCCCCAAAGTTCCCCCAATGCAGGTCACAATAATTTGAGTAAAAAGAGCAACAACACAACCCAAGGTGCCCTAAAACACTCACATGACACACAAACGAGTCTATAACACCCTGAATTAATTAGTCTTATGCCTCTCCACCTTGATCTTGAGGACCTAACTCTAACCAGAGGACCTAATTCAAACTCTGATTGTTTTGCATGTTTAGGGAGGAGGTAGTGAGTACTCAGGGCTTCCCTGGTGGCTCAGATGGTAAAGAATTCACGGGCAATGCGAGAGATCTGGGTTTGACCCTGGGTTGGGAAGATCCCCTGGAGAAGGGCATGGCAACCCACTCCAGTATTCTTGCCTGGAGAATCCCCATGGACAGAGTGACGAGCCACATATGCCATAAGTGGTCTGCCACTTAAAGCAATCTGAATGTTTCTGCTGCCTCTGGGCGAGGAGTCATGTCCCTGGGGCTCACCCTTTCCTTCCAACAGGCAGCTGGACCTCCCAACGGTGACACTGTGACAGGTGAAGCCCTGCAGCTTTGCTAGAAGACAACATCCAGGCCCAGAGGGCCTCATTCACAGTGACCAATATTGTCCCCCACTTCCCCTGGCCCCTCTATGCTCTACACTCGTTGATTCCTGTGTCCCTGACTGAGAACACATGACTCTTGCCTACTGTAGAGCTCTTTGTTGCACCACCTCTTTCCTTCATCCTGAACAAGGAGAAAGGGAGAAGCATCTTCTCTTTCCATTTGGTTCTGTTCCCCGATCCCACCCCCCCAACCCCCATGGAACACCTGGATCACTGTTAAATATCAATAGCTGAGAGGCAAGGCCAGCTAGGAGAAGGAGGCAGCAGAGGATGAGATGGTTAGATGGCATCACTGACTCAGTGGACTTGAGTTTGAGCAAACTCCCTGAGATAGTGGTGGACTGAGGAGGCTGGCCTACAGCAGTCCATGGGGTTGCAAAGAGTCAGACACAACTTAGTGACTAAACAACAACAAAGGCCAGCAATTAAGTTTTCTGGCCTCACCAGAATGAGTCAGGTAAGGATTTCATTAAAATATGTATGAACATGCTCCAAGATTATCAAATGATAGGTAACTGGAGGGACATTAGATGAATTAAGTTAAATGAAAATTAACTTGCATTTCATAGTACTTTAAAAAGCATAGGTTATTTCCTTTAACTACTTGGCCATGGATTAGACATAAACTGATGTTAGACCACAAGAAAGAATATATTGCTCTCACTTGCAGATAAATAATATTTTTTCATAGTTTCCCTCTAAGTTCAGCAGAGAAATGCAGTGGGCCCTATGATTTTGTCAGTTCACCACCAGCCTCATTTCAGGGAACTCTCTCCCCATCCCCCATGCCCTTGTCCTTCCTGCTCTCCAGGTGCCTATGGCCACCACAAGAGACTGCAGATTGGTACAATGGGCGTGGCCTTGGCACAGCCCATTGGTCCAGCAGTGGGCGCCCAATCTGAACAGGCCAATCAGAATTCTCCCCCAGGATTTGGGAACTGCAACTGACAAAAGAAGTCAGCCTTTCCCTGGGTGTCTGAAAATGAAGACATGTAAATGCAGAAGCAGTTGGCAGTCTTGTTCCACCATGTGGACTGAGGAATAGAAAATGCCAATCAGCAGAAAGAGTTCAGAGGCAAGAAAAGGAGAACAAATCCTGACAGCCTCTGAGCTCCCACTTCTAGCTGCTCCCAAGGCCTGTCCATATTCCTCTTTTGGATTTCATTGAATCCATGTAGCCTTATAATAAAATTCTTGCTTGGCTTAAACTAGCTTAAGTTGGATTTCTGTTCCTTGCAACCAAAGAGTTTTAACTAATATAAGAATGCAGTCCTATTTCAGTCTCACTTACATGCTAATCTTGAATTCCTTAACCATTTTACTTTGTGACTTCAGGATGAAAAAAATAAAAGTGAAAATATTTGAGTTAGACTCTGGTACAAATTAGTCCACCATCATTCTCTTGGACTTTTTTTTTTTTTCCACACAACAATCTGGTAGTGTTTTCCTCCATACTGGAATGGATTAATTACAAGCTAGACACACAGGGGAATGAGTAGGTCAATGGTCTAGCTGTCACTGACAAAACAAGGGATTTTTATGACAGTCACTAAGAATTTGGTCTTTCCTAATTTGAGTCCATTTGTGAGTGCTGTATGTTCTCTCTTGATGATCTACCTAACTCAAATGACCTCTGATCTGTAGACCTATCACCAGTCCCCCTGGACACTCCAAATTTGGTGAACCATGCCCACAGCAATGGTCTGTGGTGGGGTCCTTCTTATGGAAGCCAGAATTAGGCTTTTTATTTACAAGGCCTGTCCTAAGAAGGTGGCAGAGAGCTGTCCAACCAAGACTCTGTAGAGAAGCTGAACAAGCACAAAACCTCTGCAGGACTAACAGTGATGTTGCCTTAGCCAGGAGCCCTCAACACTTGTTCACTCCTAGCTAAAATACCAAATGTCAACAACGAATGTGATACCATCCCCATTCACTTTCCCAAAGGTGTGTGTAGAACTAAAGAAGCTCTTGCCTGATATCTAGCTAGGCTCTCTCAGGGTTCTCCTATGAAAAAAACAGAAATTAATCCCAAACCCACTGGCTTGACCAAGACAAGAGGCATGTGCGTGGAAAAACATAGCCTGATATTAAAAATCCAAAGGCAGGTGGAAGTGCTCACCAGCCTTGCCCCTGCCTTCCCTTGTCTAAGTGGGTGTTCCTTGGACCACCATAAGCCTCAGAAACCTGAGTGGCAAATTAGTCACCGTCTCTACTCTGATTGGGAAATATTTCCTTGCTATCCGTCCAAGGTTAATCAGCATTTCAGTTAAACAGGTTAAAAATGCCCTAGGAATTCAGAGCTGGAAAGAACCTCAGAGTCATTTGGCCCAAGAGTTTATTTTAAAAATGAAGAAAAAGAAGCCCAGAGAGATACAGTCACTTGTTTTTCAAGAGGCACAGCCAGGGAGCAGACGGCTGGGGAGCAGCAGCGCATCAACCCGCCGGCTCCAGGCTCTGAGAACCGAACGCCCTCCGCATCGCGCTGCTCGCGGACCGCTCTGCACGCGCCGGAGGCCTAGATGGCCAAGAAATCAAGGGCACCGGCTCTTCTAAATTCTCCAGAGAGAAAGTTCCAAGACGCTGGGGGCCGATGCGGAGGATTTTCAAAGGCCTGCGGCGGAGCCCTGCTCGCAGGGACACGGGCCAGATGTCCTCACGTCCCCTCTGCAGACGCTGGGGCCGCCTGCTGCAGTCCACCCCGCGCGGGCGCACAGCAGCCTCTGCTCCCGCAAGCCCCCGGGCAGCTTCGGAACACACCTAGGGATCCCGCCGGGCGGGCGGGTGGGTGGTGCAGGGGCGGCAGGATGGCTGCGAAGGTCAGTCGTCTCCCCTGCTGGCCGCCTTCCTTTCCTGGTCGCTCCCTGTGGCGGCAGAGAAAACAATGAACCCGCGGGGCAGACAGAAGACAGACTGACGCATCTGCACACTCGGAAGAGAGGATCCAATGGCTAAGCAGCTCGAGTGGGGCCGTCAGAAAACCGTGGGGTTTTCACAGAGCAGGTGGAGTTCACTGCAAATGCACTGGGTCTTGCCAATCACTGAGATGGCGCACCTTTGTTCGGTTTTCAGAAGTGCAATTCCAGGGGCACTTTTTTTCCCCCTTGTAAAAGAGACTGTAAAGACAATATTAATTTGTTTAAGCTCAAGACGTGAAACAAACCGGATGCCATGCTTTCTCAGCTTTCTGAGTTACAGATGACGGTGTAATTTAGCATCACCTGAAGCCAAAATTCACCTGAGTAGAATTAGGGATTGTCAGTGAATCCCCACTCACACTTCCAGAGATGAGTTTGATTTTTCTAGACACACACACACACACACAGAGTTATTGTCTCCTTGGCCCTGATCTCCTATTGAACAACAGATACGGGCCCAGGACAATGCGGGGTTTGGTGCTTCTTTCGGGAGAAGAACTTACAGTATTTCTCCATCCCTATCATTCCCCTCTCTGTGTATGGTTTGTATGTCAGCTGCTACCTGAACAGAGGTGGCAGTTCCATATAGGTTGGCTTAGAGAAGAAAGCTGTTCTCACTTGGGTTCTATAAATTACTCATATTCTCACTTTAATATCAAGTATGATATGTATTAGAGTGCATGGTTTTGGCTAGAATCAATTTGGAAGGCTGTCAAATAAAAAACAAAATAGGAAAATAAATCCAAAGTAAAATTTATGACATGATTTTACTCCCATTACATTCCACTTAACAAATGCATATGTTTTACAATATCTTTAATAATAATTATTAAACATAGTAAAATACTTCCAAACTTGGCTCATTGCATAATTGTACTTCGAGTGAAAAAAAAAAAATTATCTGAAGCCTTGTCAATATGCCACTTCCTCCTCCCCCAGCTTTTAACAGAAGCAGCCTCCAGTGGAATAATCCAAGCTGTGTTCAAGAAGTTGGCAAGTAGGTCCAATTAAATGTGGTTTTACTGTATTCTGGCGTTTGCATATCTTGTTTGCCAAGAAGTAATCTTTGACAAAAAAAAAAAAGAATCTCTACTGGCCCAGACACAGCCTGGATGGTGCAATGCATCACATAACTTTACCCCATGACTAAGATAATCTTTTTTTCTTAAATAGCTGTGGAAACCGTATCATATATCCATCATATTCCTATATGAATCACAAAACACTGTGCTTGATGGAGCCTCTTACATTTATACATGACAATCTGAAATTCATCTTAATAGCGCTGCTTATTTTAATTATTAAACTCAAAGGGGGTTACTTTCAACCACCTGAGCTTGATGTATTTATTCAGGTGTGCTCCAGTTGGATTATCTGAATGAGGCTCCAAAGGACCCTATTGACTATGAAACGCCGGCTGGTCCAAGTTGCAGTCATCCACACTCACAAACCCAGGGACCTGAATCTGAGGGACAGACATGCTCCTCTGAGTTTTGCTGGGCTGTTCTTTTGCTGGTGTTTTATACACTCTCATGCCCTTATGGAGGCGCTGACTCTCGTAGCCCCTTCCAGCTAACCCACGCGCTACGTGAACCATCAGCCGTATCCAAAGTCCAGATGGAAAGCTGTCAACAAAGAGACTCCTTCCGCTCTGCCTACTGCATGATTCATCCCTGGCATGAAGACAGGCCGGAGATGGCCCCACCACCTTGACTCCCATAGGTGAGCACAGGTGCCCATTCCTCAGGTCAGCAGGGAGGGATCGGGTCCGAAAATGCCTCTGAACACACAACTTGGCCTTTGTTATGGACCGTCACAAGCTCATTAAAAACACATGCAGAAATGGTTAAACAAAATCCTCTAAACCTTTTACAAAATTGCCAGTCTATTAGAAGGACTGAGCTCACAGCAAACTCTCCTTTCCAATGTGTGCAATGGAGCAGCTAATGTCCTTTGGACTCTTGTCTATGGCACCAAGCAGAGAGAGGTGGGGGGGGGGGCTTGTTTGTTTTTGGTTCTTGTTGTTGTTTTTTTAACTTTTTTAAAACCAAACTCTTCAATAGTGCAACCCAAAGGACTGTTTTTACCAAACATGTACTGTTAAAGTCATTGCCTTGTAAAAAAAATCTATGAAAATTATAAAATAAAAAGGGAGATCTGTGTCATTGTATCTGGGAGAGCAAGAAGGAAAAGAGAAGCAGATGACCGTGGCACGAATGCTTTTGTGAGTGGCACTGCATCAAAGAGCGAAGTGGACTCGCTGAATGGGGGTTTTGAAGCCTATTACGTGGAAAAGTTGGATCGTAAGCTTGATCTGGGCAATATTTACTCAAAGTTTCCTTATAAGGCACAGAGCACTGCATTCCATCGAGTCGTGGACTTTCACCAGGTGCATCTTCCTCCTAACAGAAGTAGTTGCAAGGAGGCAGTTTGACCACAGATTTGCAGTGTACCACGATGTGGCTCTAGCAACACATAAAATAGCACATCAGTGATGTGAGGCCTGAGATGGAGAGGCTCTGAGCTCTGATCTGGCATGTGCCACCTTCTCCTGGTGAGATCAGTAAGTCATTTAAATCTCTGGGGAGATCATTTTAATATATGTGCCTCCCTGGGGAGTTGCACTTGTTCCTTATCATTATATATATTAATCATGCTGTTTTTTAAAAAATTTTATGATGCAAGATTAAATATAAGCTGAAGCTTTCAGTCTTAGTCTCTCCAGCCTTAAGAGAAAAATACAAATACATCTCCAGCTTAGGTTTTTGGATTAATCAGATAGAGAGTTGAAAGGGCTTGGGACATTCATCTAAAGGAACCGAAAGTACGATGTAAGTTCTATGAGGGTTAGGGCATACTTACCTAACTGAGACTGTAGGATATTTTTCATTCCTATGGTGCTTGGACTTTCACATATCACGTAGAACTTGCTTTCCTCAGGCCCTGCTTAAAACCAGAATAAAGTTGAGACGGTTAGTGCCCAATGAACTTAAATCATAAAAATTCACATGAAAAAAAAACCCACATTGATAAGAAGGCTTCATGATAAGGAAACTTCACCTTGGCATAAAAATAATAATCATTATAATAGTGAAGTCACTGCAAATGTATATAGCATCTTTTTTTTTTTCTGAGAGCTTAATACTTTTGCAAATTCATTTGCACACTATTCTAAGGAAGGAGATGATAAGGGTATTATTTTTCTGGTCTTTCTTACAAGTGGGTAAATAAGGGTGGGGCTGGTAGAACTTCACTAACTTTCCCTTAAGCTTTCTTTCTCTAAAGCAGATGATACTGAGAGACAGGGGTGAAAAACATTCCAAGTAACCAAGGCCAGTTCTCAGATAAGGGGAAAATTGATATTCAATTTTCCCCTTTCAGCAGCAAGCAAGTTTTGAGGTTCCTGTCTGGCTGCCACCCTCTGTCGTGCATCCATGTTTCTTCCCTCCCTCTTGCATATCCAGCAACAGTTCGTCAGCCCTGCACTTACTAGCCTGCAAGTAGCAGTGCCTCGTCGTGGTTGAACTAGTAACATGTTTGGAAACCTAAGCAACCCCTTTCATGACTGGGAGTAGAGAGGGAGGGTGTGTCAGTGGGAAGAATCCTGCCAGGGTCTCAGTTCTTGGGGAGCCCAAGGTAGAGGCGCCAAAACATGTCCTCTACACTCTCAGGAGAGAGTGTTCTACTGTGAGAATTTTTTTAATAGTTGATAGGATCTAAGTCAGGAGGAGAAATAGCATAATTCCAACCTTAGGTTCAACTTGTAAATATATATAGCAGACAATGGTAAGTGCAATCATGGTAAATATCTATTAACATATTGCAAACTTTACCATTTGGGCATAACCAGAATGCTGATTTCGGATTCAGACTTGATCAAAGATATGCCCCGAACAAGGAATTCAGCCTCAATGTGCCTCTAAAGAGAAGAAAAAAAAAAAAAAAAAACACCGAAACCTCATGTCTAAAATGATAGATAACTAAAGGTTTGGGGAATGTATGAAATGCTTGCAAAGTAGTCTGGACCCTCTTCCCTTCTCTTATGGCATCACCCAGTACTTTTAGGATGAACAAACTGGAAATCACTTTTGCCCTGTCCAGCTCTAAGTTTCTGTGATTTTCAGGAAGGATGTGATACAGCAATTTGTAAGGGGAGAATATAAGACACACAACACAGGTCTTCAAATAATGGGGAATAATTGGGCCATTCTGGCCATTAGATTTTTGCAATTTGAATAACAAAATTAACTCATTATTTTAAAAGCAACCAGTCCAGAATGCAAATTTTAAAATTCAGGATCCAGATGTAAGCTGGGAAATGTTTTTGTTTATACGGCTTAAGAGTTATGTTATTTTAGGAGAGAGAAAAAATTATACATGTATCATTAAATAAGAATAACAATATGAGGATTGATTGCCTCATACTTCGAGGGCGTTGTTTGACTGACTTTTAAACAGAAACACTTCAATCATTTAAAATTCTTCCATGCTGGTCAAGCCTACAAACCGCCTGTATTTTGACTAAAGTATTATTTTTACCGCAAGATAAGCACCTTTACAAAGCAAATTGAATAGATGACAAACCCACCCTCCCTCCCCCTTTTGCACATAAGTGATTCTAGTACTGCTTTGAGGCATCCCTCAAGTCAAATAACATAAATAGAATGTGAGAAATTACCACGTTTTCTAGACTTCACACTTAGCATGAAAAACAAAACTTCATTGTGCCTCAACATATCCTCTTTTTTCTCTTAACCTAAGGATTTCATAGAGTTCAATGTGGTTTATTATACTGAGCACCTGAAAATGCCTCAGCTCCTGGGTCCACAGGCTCTGACTTTGGATGTATGTCTGTGGGTTGCTGGTGCAGAGTGATAAATAGGGCCAACCTCAAATGTAGTTTTCATTCAAATGTACTTTAATTTTTACAAAATGGTAGAAATTCACACATAAAAATAAATTAGTTGAAAAAAGTCCATTGCAATGGTGTCCAAAATTACTCAATGCATAAAATTTGCCCTCTTATAATTAATAAAAGACACTGAGAAAAACAGAGCAGACTATAAAATATGAATTTTAATTTGCATCTCAACAAAAATAAAAACCTAAAGGGTAGTCCATCTGCGAGCCTTTAGTTTCTTTTTCATTTATTCAATTGCAAGATCTTGGGGATTCTGAAGAGACCTTAAATTTTACAATAAAGGCATGTATATAATGTCTATGCTTTGAATATGAACCTAAACTCCCTCCTGTCATACTTAAGAGACCCTCTTTCTCAAAGGCAGTTAGTTATAGAAATAAGCTTATAAATTATTTTCTTGGAATACGGTTTTATGCTCAAATTTCTTCTATTCAATGAGGATTTTAAGTACACAGAGAAACAGCTATAAATGAGAAGAAATGGATTTTTTCCCCTAAAAATGAATAGATGGCACAAACTTCTGTGGCTATGGTTCACAAACAATAAATGTTTTTCTTAAATGTTTTAATTATCTATTATTGAATCATTGTGCTTTTCTAAAACTTATCCAAATAGACACTCTAGGAAGCATTGTTGCCTGTCTAGTAAACATTTAATAGGCATTTCAGTATTACCAAAGAGCTCGTTTGCACAACACAGTTCCAAATAAATGATCCACAAAAAAACGTACATTATGTACATACATATAATATGCATATAATTTTTCTGTTTTTAAGAGATTTAGATTAAAAGCTTAAATGCTCCTACTTTGATCACAGATCATTTCAGAGCAATAGACATATATAACTAAATGTCAGGGTGTTTGGTAATCCCCTCAAAGGTGAAGTGTACACTGAACCAAGGTATGATTTTTTTTTAATGAGCTGAATATGTCCTTATTTATACATAGTTTCGAGTAATCTATATTTTAAAATTCTACATGGTTAAGTTTTATTCTTTTAAGCTCTGTTATACCAAAAGTTAGCTCTGATTTGTCACAGCACACATAAATAAGGTTATGCTAGTCTTTCAAGTTCAGTATCATTGTACTTACATGATTAAGTATTCAAGCAACAAGAGTTAATCCAGCCTATAAAAGTTTACAAATATTCAAATACATTTTTCATGTGCTACTTCATATTAACTACAAATATACTTTTTTACAAATGTGAATATTTAGGCCAATATGTCTTTTTTAAAATTCCTATATAGTCATGTTAAGCATGCATATTGAATAAAAACTACTTGATTTAATGATTAACTACATAGATTATAATAAACTGTAAATAAATCGTTTCCATGAATGGACTCTCTATCTGTGTCACACGGCCTCTCAAAGCCACTCTAAATATCCTCACTGAAACTGTTACTGACTAATGTGCTACATTTTAAAGCCAAATTGGGTTTTTGCTTCTCTCATGCCAAACGAACTAGACAGAATTGCCTCCTATAGCAAAATTCGAGTTCAACTGCAAACCCATTTCTGAAGATAATTAGAAAGGGTGGGTGGCAGGGACTAGTACCTGAAAATTCAAGAAAATTTTAGTTTTGACAGCATCATTTTGCAAACTACCCTTCACATAAACCCAGGGATCGTGATTAACAGTCAGTAAATGTTAGAATAGAACCAGGAAAGTCAACTAGGTAGTTCATTTCTCTCAAAAAAAATCAGATTTCTTTCAAGTGCTTGAATATTTAGGATTCTATGAGCCTGAATTATCTAGACAATTAAATCAACAAATTATTTAGTGTAAGCAGACACTTTTAATTGGGCTTAAAAGAGCAACTTTTCAAGTTTCATTTCTATGACCTCACCGTTCCTTGTTACAATGTTTTATATATGGGGTTCAGTTTCTTTCACAAGGAATTACAAACATTAAGCTTTTTAACGGATCAGTTTGCAAAATGCTAAAAGTTTCACTTCTAAAATGTCTCTGTAAATAAACTAATATTTCTAAAAATCTCCAGTGTCATCAGTATGATCTGATTACTTTAGAACTCTTTTTATATTAAAAAAAATCTAAGAAGGAGTTGGGAAGGCTAGAAACATACAATGTTTCTTTCTACGTAACTACATTGACAAAGTCAAAAGATAAGTGGTTCTACATTTTGGACCAAAGGATCACATACAAAGATATTTTGCCACGCTTTGGCAGGTCAGAGTAGGACATTTTTAATGTAAGGGACAAAATCCTATCAGTGTAATAAATTTGGACTATTAGCCAGAATGAAACTCCTGAAACTTATTTGCTTTTAAAAAATAATTAAAAAAAAATAAAAATGGTATTATTTCTAGCGTTTTTATGTCAAATGACATTAAAGAAAAGGATCGAGTTCTCCAGTCCAGGACTTCAAACTTCACACTTCCTCGATCACTGTACCTTATTAGTAAGTTTCAAACACTGAAATAATTACAATGAAAATTTAGATCAATATCTACAAATTAAAACTAAAATTTGAGTTTCCTATCCAGATGTATGTAGTTTCCCTCATATTAGAAATGAAAAAATGTTTTAAGCTTTTATAAGAATAAAATGTAGTCATACAATAAATTTTGAGATGGTAAGATTCTTGTAAAAAATTCTTATCTGGTATAATAGGACTTTTAAAGTCAAGTTTTTATGTTTTGTGTTCTATTGATCAAACTTGGGAGATTCAAGATTTTTTAAGTTGTATTACTTCTTGTTAAGAAAACCAATTGTTTTCTTTGATAACAGTTCAAAATTTTTGTTTTACCTGGAAAAAAATGAGTATTTCAGGCATTTTAATGTGAGCTATTATATAATTTTAATAAAATGTTCACCTTTTCCTAATCTTCCAATAACATGTTTGTAGATCATGTCTATTAGGGAAAAATAAACAAACAAAACTCTACTTGATTCACCTATTAATCTGATAGCATAATTAACTAGAAAGGAGATCCAAAACCAGTATCCTTAACATTGGATAGCGCTTGGATATTCCCCAGAGTACACCTTACACGCAAGTAGGGCCCACATTCATCTAGGGCATAATTGATTATCTGAAAGAAGCAGATGTTTTCAAAAGTAAATGAAACCCCATATTTAAAGTATACTTATGTATCATCCCGATGTCAAAGGTGAGATCAATTTGAATGGTTTCCAACGTGATTACATGACAAATTAATTTCCTTTTTTAAAAATGTAGTGAATGAACAACTGATTCCTTCACTTATCAAATGTGGTGGTTTGTGTAATTGTTCTAGTTTTTAAGAAGTGTTTTAAGGAGTTATTTCTTCCAAATTTCATGTCAAAACATTCTTTTTGTAAGTGTATCCAGCTAAGTTTAAAATAATGCTCATTTAAAATTAGATGCTAGTCTGTGGAACTAAATTATAACTCTTAACATCTTCTGAAAGCTTCGAGACACTCTGACCAGATAGCATAAAAAACTGAAGACACAGGTCCTACTCACCCTCCCACCCCGTAACTAACTGCCCAAGAAATTATTTTGTGGAACTCAAATGTACGTTCTCCTTTCATGTCAAACAATGTTTGGTTGGTTAAAACCAAGTGAGTTTCATGTAACTGAAATCCTGTGTCAACCAAAAAAAAATAAAAAAAAAAAGGGAAAGGTAGAATCCCAAGTAGTAAATTACCAATGGTGCTTTATAATCTTTTGGGATTCCCATCCAAAGACAACATGGAACTTACATATGGTACACTTTCAAGCTCCAGACCTTATATACCATTTCTACAGAAATTAAGAATATTAACCTTACTATAGATCATTTAATATAAATGTATTTAATTTTGACAATAATCATGTAAAACTATATTTTCATAGGTACCTTTAAGGATAGAGGAATGGGCAATTATAAATTATGTAAATCCTGGAAGAGTGTGGACAATTATAGATTCCAGAATTTATAAAAACTCTCAGGTCGGTGCCAGCCCTGCTCACACTTAAAGACAACTGGACCCTCAGCATGTGTGAGTGAGTGTTCTGTCAATTCTTTAGGTCAACCAGCAAATGTTTCTCACCCTTACAAGACCAATCAGGCAAGTATGAAGTTGGGCCGATCACAAAAATTAGGGAACAGTTTTTTAAATGGTTGCATGCACTTAATCACATTTTAAAGTTAAAACTTAAGAATTAAAACCTGAGAACTTTTGACTTCTCCCAGCAACAAAGAGGATGTATACAGCTATTCTTGAACAAGCGAATGCCTGCTAATTCAATTGCCTAAAATTCCAGTCATTAGCCAAGCAGTTTTCCAAATTAAGACATCCGGTCTCCTACAATTTTCCACTTAAGCCAGAACAGAGAAAAATAGATTTGACCAATCAACTTAAGATTACCCATGAAAATATGACTTATGGTGTATTAGTAGTTGTACAGTGTATTATGAAAAAATCTGTGCTGCCACCTTCACGTTCCCAATCCAGATTGTAGAAAATGGGTCACATTTTTTTTTAATGTGCATTTAGAATCTTCTTAAATGACTAGAAGCAAAATGTTTGAACACTTCTATCTGAGTGATTTAAGGTAATCTAATAATTCATAAGCTCTGAACAGAATATTAAAAATAAAGATGCCATGTATGATACATATTTAGGATCTATATAGTACATAATCACAATTTTGAAAACACACAAAAATTCTCAGTTCATATAATTTATTGCAGTTAGCACACAGTTTAAAAATTCACCAACACACCAATAGTACAAAACTAAACAGCATTATAAGTTATTCCCCCCTCAGGAAAATAAAACATACTATGATTGTCAAAGCTAGATGTCAGTCTAAGTTTTAGAACAAAGGAAGAATGTGAAACTAATAAAAGGAAAAAGCAATCACTCACAATGACCACAAAAAAAATCCAAAAGAAAGTCCGTTTTCTCACAGACATTGATTGTCTTCTCTAAATTAATAAAAATTATCTTAACATAAACTGTACTTTAAAAAAACTAGAAACTCTTCAAGTAACTAAAGATAATGCTCCAAGGCCATTTTCACAGCTTTTTTTGTTTGTTTGTTTGCTTTAAATGCCATTACAGCCAAATTAACACACATTTGACCAAATATTTCCAAAACAGTCCAGCAACACACAATGGAGTTTTCCATTCAGTATCTTAAGCACAAAAATAGGCTATGTTTACAGTAGTTAAGGCGATCAAATTTTAAACAAAAGCAATTTAAAAAAAAAAAAAAGGGAAAAACAGCAAACGTTTTCCATGCTACTCCCATAGACCTTATTTGTAAGTGCAAGACAGGAAAACAAACACTGTGCAAAATGCTTTTACCCTGCGTGCTGGTCATTAAAACCACACGTTGGGCTGCAGCCTCTGCTGCCGCGATACACATAGTCTACTAACCCCCTTCCCCGTGTCAATCAAGGCAGTCCAGTCCATTCAGCCTGGGGCTTTTTCAGTCCATAGAATCTTTTCATGAGTTGGGGGTGTAGGGGGGATGGAGGGGTAAGGGATGGAGGGAGGAAGGGAGGGAAAGGAAGAAGGGGAGAAAAAGAAAAGGGGAGAAAAAAAAAAAGAGAATGACCTATTGTCAATTTGTGCAGTAGTTAACTCTAAAAACGCTCAACTGGGTAAATGTGTACATCTAAACTTTGAGCTGGCCTGGGTTTTGTGCAATTAGAAGTTTTGTTATAAATGCACACTGCACATGCAGATCTTTAAGCCGTTTGTAAACATTTATATTTTCCTTGTTATGTAGCGAAGTTATCAATTTGCAGCTTAAGTTTTTATTCAGCTTAACAGTTTCAACTTAAAGACAGTGGGAAAGTCAATTTAAATTATATAAAATAAAAATAAAAACAGTGCATTAACGTTCTTCATAACACCAGGTTTTTTTTTCTCCAAATGGTGCTATTTCTCTAAGGAAATTAAATAATTTTAAACTCACTCGTTAAAGTTATACAATGCAAACAAAGACAAAAAATATATTGAAACTCATGCATTTCTGTAGCGTTAATATTTACTTTTCAAGACTCAACTAAGAGCATCAACACAACCTGTCAAGTCCTTTGACACCCCCCCCAGCCCATGTAATCAATTACAGTATACAATAACAGTAATTCACATTTTTCAACACACAGTTCAACACTGCTGAAGCTGCAATATCCTTTTTCATCCCAAGCAAACCTTCACAAAGACAGCGTCCCAGTGATCCCAGTGTACTTTCAGAATTTCTCTCATTGGGAACCGTCAGAAAACCAGAAGTTGCCACAGAAAGTTTTAAGTCAACTGCTTGTTTAAAAATAGATAATCCAGCATTTCAGAAATTTTCCATTTGGGTCTAAAAGCATTCAGGTTTCCAACAGCCAGAAAAGATTCATGCAATTTGAGACATATAAAGAGGCTAATAAAACTGGAGGGAATTTCTACTTTAAAAAAAAGAAAAAGTGGGAAAAAGGAGAGAGCTCAAAAGACACCGCAGTGCTGACAAAACAGACCCTATGAAAGCATTTTGTGATAGGACGATTTGTTTCAAAGGTTCTTATTGGCTTACTTCCCCTACCCCCTCGAAAGAAAGGAAGAAAAAAACACCTCTCTATTCTCCGACTTGCTCTAAAGTTTCTTTAATCAGGATGCTAAATTAGTGAGATTCTCATGCTATTCTAAAGTGCAAAAACAAGTTAATATCCCAACCTTTCAGTTCCAGGAAACGAGACTGCTTTTAGACCGTACCACAACTATATAGAGATCTATTTATATATAGGTATATATATATTATTTATATATATATATATAAAATTATTTCCAGAGTTCTTGAGAGCTATCTTCTAAGGTCCAGTCTCTGACCGCGGGCAGGCTCAGCGCCTCGCTTTTGACCGACAAGGAGTTCACCAACTCACAGTGGAACTTGCGGATGTGCCGGTACAGGTCCCCGGACTGCGTGAACCTGCGCTCGCACCACTTGCAGGCGTGCGGCTTCTCGCGCGTGTGCACCACGGCGTGGCGGCTCAGGTTGTGCGAGTACTGGAAGCTCTTGCCGCACTGCGTGCACGTGTAGGGCTTCTCGCCCGAGTGAGTCCTCTCGTGGCGCTTCAGGGTGTACATGCAGGAGAACGTCTTCCCGCACAGCGAGCAGGTGGGCACGTTGACGTCGGCGGCCGGCTTGCTGCGCAGGCCGTCCTGCTCGCGGAAGTGCGTGCTCAGGTGGATCTGCAGGATGTGCGGGCTGGGGAAGACCTTGTTGCACAGGGGGCACATGAAGATCTGGCCGGCCGGGCTCAGGATGTTGGAGACGTAGGGCAGCAGGCTGCTCTCCATGCCGCCCTCCACCTGGACCCGCTCGCTCTCGGGGGTCAGCATCTCGTCGTCGCTGGCTTTGTCCTCCCGCTCCAGCTCCCTCAGGACCGAGTCCTCCCTCAGAGGAGCCAGATGGGCCGGCTCATACTGTACCCTGTTATTAGTGCTCACACTCTCTTTCACAGTGCTATGTTCCATGTCATAGTCATTAGTGCCAACATCACTCTCATCACAGGAAGCCTCTTTCTCCACCTTCACCTGCACCAGGTTGCTTCTCAGCACGTCCTGTGAAGAGAAATAAGAGCTGTTCAGATTTTCAACTCCTGAAAGGCTGGACTTGACAGACAGGTCCAGCACACAGTCAACATCTGCCGAATCCCTCACGGAGGTGACAGACCTCTGGGACAAAGACTCTGTTGAGCTGCAGGGGCTGGCTACTGTTTTTCCAGCTGCTGTGGCGTGTGGCTCTGCCTCTCCGCCAGCCTGGGGGATGCCTGCTGAGTCCGAGGGCAATCGCATCCACATGTTCCCAGGCTCGGCCGCCAAGTCCCTTTTGCTGGGCAAGATGTTCAGTTTTTCATCTTCCCCTTCATCTTCATCACTGGGCAAATCGCCTGCCATGTGGCTGCTGCCATCCGAGAGGCTCTCGACTTTGTCCGAACAACTTGAAGCATCTTCTTCCTTTTTGGTGCTGTCTGCCTCCGTGGTGGCTTTCTCTTTCAGCTTCTTTTTGCAGACTTTGACAATGTCATACATGTGGAGATAACTGGCAGCTGCTAGCACGTCTTCAATGGGCAAGTCTTTGAACTGGAGTTTCCCTTCATACATGAATTCAAGCAGGAGAGCGAAGGCTGGGGCTGTAACAATGTCGCTGTTCAGATGAACAATGTCTCTTTTGTCCAGCTGGTCCTTGTAAAAGAGGTGGAAATACATGCTGCATGAAGCCAGTACAGCGCGGTGCGCTCGGAACTGGGCATCTCCCACCAGAACAGTGCAGTCACAAAGAAAACCCTGATGTCTCTGCTCGCTCAGACACTGCAGCAAATGTCTACTATGGTCTGGAAACTCCATACTGTCTTCATAACCTGGGAAGAGAGAAATTTCTCATCAGAGTCTGGTTAGGAACAACTTTTCAATGCTCTAGTCCCCACTTCAAAAAAAAAAAAAAAAATCAGCTTGGGCCTCGGAGGTACATGTCCCTGAATTTTAATCAGGCTTATGACCCAAGCACTACCAAATCACACACACACACACACACAAAACCAAATGTGAGAAGAAAAATGTACGCTTTTGAAACTTCTTACTCCAGCCAAACAGTCTCTGATGCGTCTCCATCTTCCCTGAACTTTTAGTCAAGTTTTAAAAGTCTTCATTTCAATACAGTCTCTTACTGAGAGTAAGAATTTACGTCTCTTTCAGGAACAATTTAACTAACTCTAATCATCAAATTATGTGCTACAAAACCTACAAAATAGCTTTATTTTCAAAGGGAACAACTCAAATAATGAACAAAGAAAAGTCGCAAACACATTCTGGAAGATTCAGGAAACTTGTTCAACCATCCTTTTTTATTACTTTTGATACCTGACTGCACTTAGAAAGCATGATTTAAACACACACATTTGGCTGGATCAAGGAAAAAAAAATGAAATTACATAATTAGTCCAGAAATCAGCAAACAACTTACTTTTAAAGTCAGAGTGTTAAAACAACAAAAGCCCTGTGTATAAAAACAGATGTTAATGCCTTAAGATTTGCAGGTATAGCACACATGTACGAGGTCAGAAGGAACTACACGAACAGATGGAAAAGATCATCCTTACTATGAACAAATCCCAATTTTTTTTTTATGAATTGAGAAAAGAAATGGTTGTTATTTCTTTGTAAAATCTGTACATTTAGATTAAAAACCAGAAGGGCTTTATTTAACTCTGAAAATTCTCATCTAAACTTTGATCTGTTGCATAGCAAAATGAGCTCCATATTAAAATTAATAGAAACTTTTAAATAAAGGCATATTACATTCAAATGAAACTCAAAAGCTGTACAGGTTCCACATACCAAAAAAAGCCTTGCTAGTAAAAGAGAAACAATTTTTTTTTTTTACTCTGACATACCTCAGTCAACAGAAAATACTTTGTTTCAACATAACTTGATATATTCTGTTTTCCTAATAGTCTTTATTCTGTCAAATGTGCATTGTTGCCCTTATTTTCTGGTGAAAGAGGGTAAAATGGAGGGAGGGGAGATGCAGATGTACAAAGGGTCAAAATTCAACTGCAAAATTCAACTCCTTAAAAATACAGAAAGCCCGACTTCCCCTTTCCTATGACTAGAAACAAGGTTCCACATCACCCAGCTCAAAAAGTGCATTTGGGGAATGGATACATATTAATTTAGTATTTAAAAATTACTTCCCTGCTGCTTCTACACTTTGCCCAAGATGGACTAAAACTTTCAGCCAAACCCAATACATTCTGCAAGATGCCACTGCTAGAATAAACCAAGATTTACAATACAATCACTTTAAGTGCCCCACAGCTAACATCAATCCTAATCCTTGAGAGGGCTAAAAATAAAGATTGGAGGGCAGCTCACAAGGTAGCCGTGATCAAATTAGGAGGCTGAGAGGACAGAGAGGGACGAAGAAGGAAGCTTATAAACATCTGATCCAGCTGACTGTGGCCATATGGCAGCTGCTGCCCAGATAAAGAGATTAAGAATAGAGGAGTGCGATTACAGCTGTCTGGCCAATTCAGGCAGCTCAAATCTACAAGTTCTAAATTAGTCACTAACACAAAAACTCCTGCAAATAATTATCGTTATGCTGAAATAAAAGATCTCTTAAGTATATATTTGAGAGAGAAATGAGGAAACCAGTCAAACTATTCTCCTGGGGACAAAAGTTTTTTTTTTTTTCTTTTCTTTTAAAAAAAACCTTCAGTTTCAAAAGCACTACAGCTGTATGTTTCAGTAAGTAGTGCTGCTGAATGTTTTGAAGAATAAAGTTTCACAGTGGAATTAATTACACAACAATCTAGCTTCTTAACTAGAATAATCGTCTCATATAAGTTTGAATGCTGGATTCCAAACAGTTTACTGTTTCTCCCCCCCACTCCAAAAGCAAAAGGAATCTAAATAGCAGTGAACAACAACAAAAAAGCATTTTAATCCGAAGTGATCTCAAAAAGCAGTATTTCAAAGCCTTTCTTAACATTTCAAAACTTGAAATATTCTGTAAAGTTCTTTACCGCTCAAGCAAAAAGGGATAAAAATTAAAACTAAACAAGCCCAAGACTTTCAATGCCAATAAGATGTTCATTTAATACTCAATTCCATATTTTACCCCTAAACTGGATTAGAAAAGTAATGTGATTTTTTTTTAAATTAAATAAACAAAACACCAAAACAGAAATATGCTCAATCTAATCTCTTGCTACTCCTACCTTTAGGACACATAAACCTGATTAAGTCCTTTCCTCTGAGTCTCGCTGGCTCCAGGTCTGTTACATCGGTGGAAAAAAAGCAGACTAAGAGAGACAGATGCAAAGTGGAGATGATGTTAGAGAGGAATGAGATACCTTCTCCACCACAGATCCGCACACACTAACTCCCTGTCTGTGTGTTAGAATAAAAGGCTGAGGGATGGCAGGCTGTCAGCTGCTCTGACATCATGTTCAGATGGAAATGCTACCTCCAGCTGTGCTCCTTTTAATGCCATATGCTACTCCTCTACACTCCTGCCACCAGCTTTTTCTTAGGAGAACTTTTCTCTTCTGTTAGTATAAACAAAATACTTCAAAGTCTCCCTTTTTTTTCCCCCAAACTTTCTAACAGAAGAAATGGAAAAACTCAGCATATGGAGTTCTACTGTATTTATGGAATAGCAACACTTCTGTCTTAAGTTGGTGGACGGGCTTACATACTGACAGCGCACACTTGCCACGGTGCTATTCAGGAAATCCAGATTCACTTTTATTCAACTCCAACGTTTAGTTTCAAAGGCAGCTCAGGGATATTTTTAAACCAACCCATTTGACATCTCCAGTCCCATTTCAACATTATTACGGCACTTTAATTTCTTTCTCTCTGCGGAGAGAATGGTATACATGTCTCAGGATGTTGGAAGACTATTCAGAACTATGACTTCAACCTGGTTCTCATTATTTCACCCTTACATAACTCCTTATCTAAAACTACCTTCTCTGTAAAATTTCTCACACTGCCAGTTAATGCAAATTTCAACTCTCAGTATCAACAAGCTGAAACTGCACTTTCTGAAATCCTGGAAAGTACTTCAATGAGACAGATTAATAAACTTGACAACCTGCTACAGCCACCTAAAATGAATGCTGCATCTGGGTACATGATCCGACTTTCCCCTCAGAAAGAGCAGAACTTTGTCTTCCCCTTGATCTGTGTCCCATAACAATCTTTTTTTGGGTCACTCTGTAATGATCATGATCACAAGAAAACCTTTCAGGGAGAAAGGGGGAAGGGGTGGGGAACCTAGGTCTAGCAAGTTAGGGAACTTTTTTAGCTACATGTGCGGGTCTTTTCGAATGGCTGATGAAATTGTAAAGCAACCCGGGCTGGCCCGACCGGTGCCCTCAAAGGGGCTGCGACATCTGTGAATGTCAAATACGTCTGCACAGGCTCCTGTGGGGGTGAGGAACAGAAAAGGATCTGGGGCCTGAGGCGCCAAGTGTCACAGTCCTGGTGATAACCACTGTTCTCATTAGAAAAACCATGGCCAAGAGTTAAAGAAAGAGTAACAAAGGCCAAGGTTCTCACTCCCGTGCTTCTTGCTTTCCCGAAGTCACAAACCCAACTTTCTCTAACTTCGCGATGAATGACATAATTATGAATGCTTATTTCAGGGGGCACTCTTTGGAGATAAAATTCCTCGGCCACACCACCTATTCTGCACAAATGCCCTCGCCTCATTCCCATATATCAGACATTAATCACCCCATTTACCCAGTGGGGTGGGGGGGGGCGAGTGACAGTTTAATGAGTCCCGAGCACCGCAATGGGCTAGCGACTCCCACTCCACAAATCAACCTCTTTGCGCCTCGCAGCCGCAGGTCCGGAGAGGGTTTTGTGAGGCCGGGTTTTGTTTTTCAAGGAGGTGGAGGCAGGGGTGCGGAGCAGGGAGGCGGCGGGGGTTGGGGTGGGAAGCAATGCAAATTTTTACGTAGTTGGCTGTGCATAAAACACTAGGGGAAAGAGGAAGGTTAAACCACAGGGAAGGAGGTGGAGGGCGTAGAGCCGGTGCAGCAGGAAAACACCTTAAACAACAGACGAGAAAACAGACCCGGGTCACGGCAACAACAAAAGAAAAGTCGTAAGAAGCCGGGGGAGGGTGGCTGTTACCGCTTCCCCGCCGCCACGGCGAGAGCCCCCGGCAACTGCCCCGGCCCGGGAGGGGCCTCTCCGCGGGCGCCGCCGCAGCTGCAAGGGTCCCCGGAGCCGCGGCCGTCCCGGCGCCGTGCAGCTGCACCGCTCCCAAGCCCCCGCCCCGCGCCCCCCGCCCCCGAGAGGCGCCGCCGCAGCTGCACCGGCCGGAGCGCGCCCCGCGCCGCAGCTGCACCGGCCGCACCCCGCCCGACCCGCAGCTGCGGCGGCCCGGCCCCGCACCCGGCCCCCGCCGCGGCGGCGCCCCCCGCCACCCCTAGCTCCACCCGCACAAACTAACTCCACTCGCGGGGCCCGGTCGCCCGCCCGCCCTGCCCCGCCGGCCGGGGCCGCACAGCCGGCGCCCCGCCCGCCAGGGCCCCGGGCGCGGAGGGGGCGCCGGGTCGGGGCCGGGGGCCGGCGCCGGGACTCACACGGAGCGGCCCTAAGTCACCGCGTCCCCGCCGCCGCCGTGTCCTCCGCCTCCCGGCCGCCGCTGCCGCCGCTGCCGGACTTGGTGGGCTTCCTCCTCCGCGGGCCCCCCCTCCCTCCCTCCCGGCCCCCCCCGCCCCCCAATCCCGGCTCCGTCGCCCGCTCCCCCTGCCCCCTCCCTCCCTCCCGCCCACCCCCTCTGGCAGCCGGAGGAGCGCGGCGGAGCGAAGAGGCCCCACTCTCAACGGCTCCCCATGGCAGCAGCCCAGCGGCGGCCGCAGCCTGCCAGACACAGCGAGGGAGCGAGCGAGCGAGGAGCGAGCGCGGAGCCCGGGCCGGGGGGCGGGGGGGGGGCCAAGGGGGAGGGGCGGGGGACGCAACACGCACGCACGCGGCGGCGCCGGCCAGATGTTACCCCCCCCCCCCCCCCCCCCCCCCGCCAACTCCTTCCCTCCCTCCCGGCGCTGGGCTGCTGCGATTGACCGAAAGCGGCCGGACCGGGTTCCCCGCCCGCCTCCCGCACGCAGTCTCCTCCAATAGGAGGGCGGCTTTTCAGGAGGGCGGAGGCAGTGGCGGGGAATCGTCGGACTGACAAGAGGGCCCAGCCAGTGGGAAAGGCGAACTGAAGCTGCCGCTCGCGCGTGCCAATCACAGACAGAAACTGTTGGGATGGGCGGGCCCGGGAGGGGCTGGTAGCAAGGCGGTGCGGGCGGAGTCGTCGGGCGGGCGCAGCGGCGGTGGCGGCAGCGGCGCCCCTCTGGGGGACTTGGCCGTGAGAAAGTGAAAGGAGCCCGCGGGCGGCGGCGACAGCTGCGCTGGGAGGGGCTTGTTTCCAGGCTAGGAGGCCTCGCGCGCTTTAGGAGAGCGGAGGGAGCTTTTCGGTGTGTGCCTTGACAACCGTAAATACACTTTTGAGCGAAGTGGGGCTGGGCTGCTTGAAGTTACGGAGGTATCAGCGGAGGCAGGGCGCCCGGGACACACATGACCTAAGTCCGGCATTAGGTGGCTTCCTCGACTCTGGCTGCTGTGGGTGGCGACGCCCAGGCTCTCGTGTCCCAGAGCGCAGAGGGTAGGACTAAGGGACGTCCTCGCTCCGTCTGGCGCTGCCCCGTCAGCAGGTGCAGGTGCGCGTCGGGCTCAGCGGACGCCACTGGCTCCGATGGGCGGTTTCTGAGCGTCATTCTCAGGGCATCTTGTCACAGACACGGCAGAGCGCCTGTATTTCTCGCAGAACCCTCATGTCACGTGTATTGCACTGTTACAAGGAGCCATTCCCAAGTGACCAAATTCTAGAGGACTACAGTAAAAGTAATACTTGTAGAAGCCATACCCTGGTTTCTTAATTTGTACGTCTTCAAGCCACAAAATTAAAGTACGGAGGGACGATGTAAGACTGTTGCATCGTTTCTCCCTTCCTTCAAATAAATTTTTATTCGATTCCCATTCTTTGCAATTAAGCTGTGTTCTTCACGGCCACCAAGAAAAGTAGAAACTTCTACTTCAAGAAGTTGGAAATCTTCTTGAGGAGGCAAGAATTACAAGCAAAAAGTTGAATAACAAGGTGGAAAATGGTTTACGAATGTAAAACAGAAAACTGCAGAGTGAGGAAGTTAGTACCCTTGTAATTGTCAAGGAAATGTGTTTATTCTTTGCTAACTGAACTGAGACTGGCAAGCCTGTTGCTAACCAACTTGCCAGGAGACCTTTCAACTGGGCAAAATGTGCTGTCACTTTGTTCCAGGTCAGATGGGTAAACCAAGTTGAAAGTATTGTGTAGGCAATCAGACATATTGAATTACTAATGAAGTAAAAAACAGGAGCACTCGGGATTCCTGAAGCTGAAATGCTATTGGAGTATCCTATTAGAAACAGTGGTGATATTCTCTACTCTTTCCTCAACCTTTTCATGTGCCCATGAGGTTGATAACTGAGGTCAAGGCCATTCTATGACAACCAGAGTTTTTTATTCTATGAAATGTATTCTATTTGTGCTTTTGCTGACTTCTGGATCTTTTAGTCTGGTGACAGGCCAAATTTCAGTTGACTTGTTAAAAGTTAGGGAAGTTTATAAATATTCTTGATAAAGGAAATATACTCATAAAAAAAAAAAACAGGTGGAAAGAAGTATGTGCTTTGCCAGCAAACTCAGGGAAAAAATTGGAAAGAAATATTTGCATCCTCAGAGTTGTTTCTCACCTACTAAAAGTTTAAGGAAAGTAACAGATCTCTGGATAAAAAGACAAAGTAACTAGTAGTGTCAACATGTTAAATAATAAGTTCATGAGAAAATTAGAACACTAAGATTATCCACAAAAAGTTTAGAAACTCAGCTCTGTAGGGTGTAAAGTCACAGCTCTAACAAAAGGCTTTACAAAAGGCACCTACAGGGAGAATAATAGCCCCGGAGATGTGCAGGGGTGGACAATGATGCATCAAAAGTTATGAGCATTGCTTTTTAGATATAAGAATCGTCACTAGGATCCATTTTGAGGACTGAGGACATGTAGATTAAATAGAGATTTAAGGAAGCAAGTTTATAGACCCTCAGTTATTTAAAAGATTTTCTAAATTCATGAAAATGCATGAAATATTCCTACACTGTCAATTAATAAAAACATTTCTGAAGTATTTATTGTGTTCAAGAAAGATACTCTGATAGGATACAGAAGACAACAAAAAAGCATGTGACACTTTCTCTCCTTCTTAAGGTTTAAATTTAGTCCGGAAAGAAATGGCATGCATGTGTTAAAATCAGAACCAATGGAAAAACTAAATAACAATATAATAAGATGTGAATGTCAGAGCTAAATTTGATATTAAATTTTGATAACCATCTTGTCCCTGGTCTCTGATTGCTGTTGCATTTTCTCTGCCATTTTTTTATATTAAAGAAAAATGTTTAGGTGACATTTTTTGAAGTGTCTTAAACACTGTAAAAATGATACTTGTAATCATCTTTGGAAAGTCATCAGCATACAAATTGTAAATAAATAAGACTGTTTTCAGAGGTGTCATAATACAGAGTGATAACTATTTTTATTGGGCACCAATTGAAACCATAGAAGGTAAGTCACACTATAAAACACCTCTTCAAGTAAGCCCCTCAAAGTAGGGACTGTTTGCCTCTACACAACAGGCTTAGCAAATTACAAGATACAGAGCTACTTGACAGAGTTTGAGAGTCAATAATCTTTTTTTTCTCTCCCACAATGGAAAAAAATGCAAAAAGTATATATAGTCTCTAACTATTAAAAAAATATAAAATTGCTTCCCTCTGGAGGAATCCTAGTCCTATACAATTCCAGTTAAATCCACACTTTTCTGGGAGTCCTGAAATTCAAAATAATATCAGTCAATCTAACCACTTATGGTTAGACTTCTTGTCAGAGAAAAAGATGTATGTTTTACTAATGTGCATTTTTACTGATAACAATTTAACACTCTAAAACATTAACATACCAAATAAAATTTAATTTGATGAGCAACTCCATAAAGTTGTCTGATTTTTAAATGTGAACCACAGGTCAAATCTCTGGGAAAAAAAAATCAGTGTTCTTATTACACTTCGTGCAATAGGCCATGTTGAAAGGGTTATCTGTGAAATTAATTTTTGAATATTGACTTTTTATAAGCTTCAGGTATAATTGGAATTTTTTCTTAAAAAAATAGGGAAGCAAGCATTAATAATACAAGAACAGGTACTCCAACATGTAATGTTTTAAATATCATAACTATAAAGTGTCATAAAATGTGAGTAGAAATTAACCTCAGTTTGAATCTAGAGAAAAAGTACACTACAATGAAGCAGTTGTTGAAGCTTCTGTTAAGCACACTTTCAACATCATCATACACATTAAACTTGTTAACTTATTTCAAACCTCTCTCTCCCTCTGTCTCGCTCATTCTCTTCTTGCTTTTAGAAATGAACAGGTTGAAATGGCATAAACAGAAGAGACACAGGCACACCTGAGACAATGGTAAAAAAAAAAAAAAATGAGCAAACTGCAACACTCACCACTATAATGAAACGAAGGAGCATATTTCCTAAAGCATAGTTTAAATACATACACATATATAGAATAATCCCTAGCACATTATATACCAAATCATTTCTTGGGTTATAG